CAGATCTCTTTTATTTTCGCTTCATTCGCTGACCTTCTTGCTTTGAAGACCTGCTCTTGAGTGGCTAGGTTACCTTTATTCTTAAAAGTCCTACATTTAGAGCCAGTGTTGTTTGTTGTGGATAAGGTGCCAGACTAGGGCTTGGGAGACCAGATTCAAATTCCCACTCTGCCATGGAAGCTCACTGGCTGACCTTGAGCTGGTCAGTGTCTCTCAGCATAACCTACCTCATTGTTGTGAGGATAAAATGGAGGAGGGGGGAATGATACTGTAAGCTGCTTTGGGTCCCCAGTGGGGAGAAAATAGGGTGTAAATATCGAACTAAATAAAAAATAGGTTTCAGTGATGGGTGTCCATTTGTCTATCAGGAATCTTCTTTGGAGTGTTGAATGAAGGTCAGTCTTGACTTTGTTCTCTTCAAAGCATATATAAGCTTCACTGTACAAGATTGCAGAAATTTGGAGTCAGATGTCATTAGTATTCTGAGAACATTATACTCTTTCATCTGATACAGGACATGTAATCTTGAGACCTGACTCAATGAGAATGAGCTGACAGAAGCTGAGAGACTTTGCAGTATGATTTTAAGTTTGAACAGAAATGTGTTCAAATGTGTTTTTATTAAGGGGTTGAGCCTTTAAAAAAAACACTTTTTGTCCAAATTTTATGGCGGGTGCTCTTCTGAATCACAGCAGGTTACAGCTTGAAATGTCTGTAGTAGGGATGGGCACAGACCTAAAAAAGGCGGTTCAGTTTGGTTTGGGGTCCATAGAGGCCCATGGACCGAACCCCAAACCAGCCTCACATGGACCAAACAGGTCCAGCAAGTTCTGTTCCCCCTTTCTCCTGGCTGTTTCTTGCTGCAGCCAGGAGAAAGGGGGGGAATCACTTGGGAAGGGGCTTCCCACTTTCTCCCGGCCATGGTGGCAGGAGTGGGGGGGGATTGCCTGGGAAGGGGCTTCATTTAACCCTCTGGTTTTGCTCCCCCCTTCGAAACAGCAGGGAGCAAAACCAAAGGATTAAATGGCTGGCAGCCATTTAAACCTAACAGCTGAGCTGTGGACCCCTTGGGTTTTGATCCACATCACTTTGGAGGGGGGGAGCAAAACCAGAGGGTTAAATATGGGTCTGAAATGCCTCCCAGGGACCATTTCACCCCCTCCTTTCTGCTGGCCCAGCTGTCTCAGCCTCCCTCACACAGCCCCTTTAAATGGGCTGCACGAGGGAGCCCGAGACAGCTGAGTCTGTGGAGAGAGGCCGAAGTCCTGAACAGCAGAACCAAACCAGCCAAAGTCCGGTAAAGTCTTCCCTGAACATTGGTTCCCAAGCCCTGAACCAGCCCAAGTCTGGCTTGGACTTTGGGTCATGAGCCAGCTCGTGCCCGTCTTTAGTCTGTAGCACTTCTGAAGGTGTGGCCTTTTAATTCTTACCCATTTTTCTTACCTTTCCCCTGCTTTTTTAAGGTGGTGCGATTTATCTCTGTATTGCAGTTTTGCAATCTAGCAAGACTTAAAAAAAAATTAAATGCTATTTTAATATAGTGAAGAAGTGTGAATATAATTTTTATAAGTAGGCTCCACATAAAAACCAGCACCATCTGAAGTACCCAAAGCATTCTATGTATGTTATGTATATACATTTATTCGTTGTCTGAAAAGCAATTATCCCGCTGGACTTACTAAAGAATTGGGACAGAAACTGATTTGAACCAGGATAATGTCACAGTGGTCCTTTCTGCACTCTCTTTTTAATCCATGTTCACCCTGATGTCCTCCAAGCAATTTTGCAGTAAAATCTAATTTAACCTTTTTAATCCAGGATTTTTTCCATTCTGCACAAAAATCAAGTTCAACCTTCTTTTTATTCCTCCCCCCCCCCATTCTGCATTACATCACCTCCTTTCAGCCTGGTTTCAGCCTGCTGTTTCCCCAGGGTATTTAGATGCTGGACTTAAATTGCCTCGACTCAAACACTGAGAAAATCTGGAGTAGCAGGCAAATGCAGAAAGGACCAGTGTGACATTTTAATTTCTATTGGATGGTTGGACAGTATTTTACTCTGAGATGGCATGACAGTGTTGAATGGTTTTATAAGCCAGGCCCCCAACTCACCGTGGGTCCTGTTTACGATCCTGTGGGGGTGGGGAGAGCCAGTGAAGACAACATTGGCCATGGCCAGCTGGCTGCGTCTGATGACAAGGGCCAGGCCATGTGGTCAGTTGAGTGGCTGGATGGTGGCAAGGGTATAAAATTCAGATCTGGCCCCTTTTCAGGGCAAGTCCTATGATGGGCTGGGATTGGGCTGTGGGAGGGAGTTGTGGGGGGATCCACTGGGGGGAGATTTAAAGTGCTGCACTGCCTGGGAGCTCACCTGGCCACGTTCATCTGTCTCAATGGGAGATGGACATATGGCTGCATGGGGATAGGTATGGCTTGCGGGTTTGGATACAGCTGTAGGAGCTTTGGCGGGAGCCAGGTGGGGATGCCTGGCTTTTATGGCGGTATCAGCATAGGGTCAGATCCATTTGTGGGAAAATTGGCCTACATGCCCATTTCTCTGCGTATGGGGATCCCTTTAAGGGATCTTGGGGTTAGGGTTTTCAAGGGGGCATGACCAGCTCAGGGGCTGCCAGGGGAGCCCACATAGTGGCAGTCATCCTGGTGGAATCCAGCATCCTGTAAACTCATGGTTCCCCCTACCCCAGTGGGCAGGCTGGGGTAGAATGAATTTCATCGACTGGCAGGCGGGTTAGTCGATGCCAGGATCTGGTTGCCCCATGCTGTGACAGGGCTTCTTATAGCTGTAACCGATAAAGTTGTGACCAATTTTATTCCAAAAAGCTGAGTTGTAAGTGTGTCTTATTGGGGTATTGCTTTGGAAGAGATCCCTCGCCTTCATTGCCCCCTCACCTCCCCTTGGTACTGGGACCACAACCTTAAGGCTAGTCTGTGTTAACAAGATCTGTGTCAGGGATGTAGGCTTTGTATCAGCGTTTTCCAACTAGTGGGTTGTGAAGCTTCTGAGTGGGTCACAAACCAGCCCTCCCTAATGGCTACCCCTGCCCTTTTCCATTGCTCTTTTTTGTATTTTGGCGATCAAGATCTCACCCTGGAAACAGTATCTTCCATGTGATACATTATTTGATATTTTTTTCTTTACTGCATATACATGTTAATCATGTGAAATGAGTCCTAATGGTTACTAGAGTGAGTTTCTTTGAATCTTGGGGGGGAGTTTGAATGTCAGTTATCATTGTCTTTGTAAATCATATCTGTCACCGGGTAATGGTTACTTAGAATGAATAAAGAGGCCAGGCTTGCTGCCACAAGGGCCAGGTCCTTTTCGGTGGCGGCTCCTACCTGGTGGAATGAGCTCCTGGAGGAAATCAGGGCCCTGCGGGACCTTTTACAGTTCCACAGGGCCTGCAAGACGGAGCTCTTCTGCCAGGCTTTTTGAGTAGGAGCCGCCGCCACTATTACCACCATCGTGCACTGCAGAGCAGTTCCGCCAGGGTGGGCTGATTAGCCACCCGGAACATCGTGGCCCATGGCATTCCCCCCTTTCTTCTGATCTCACTGTGATATACAATAATGAGTGAGTATTTTAATCGCCGATGTATCCTGTAAAATATGAATTTTGGTTTTAAGTGGTTAATCTGTGTAGTTTTATCGCACCTTGGGTGCCATAATTGTTTTAATCCTGTTGTATTTTATTGCACGGTTGTGCCTATGTAAGCCGCCCTGAGCCCGTGCGCGGGGAGGGCGGGGTATAAATGAAATAAATAAATAAATAAATAAATAAATATGGAGGCTATTCTTAATAGTTTGACTAGTATGAATTCAGTAAACCATAGTTTTAATTCCACATGATCCCCTTGCATTATAAGACTATATTTCCATACAAGCCATCTTGTGTCTGCCTATTTAAATTCTGCTCATTGTCCTTACTGTATTCTTTTACCATAACCTCTCCCATTCTCCTAAAGTCCAGCCCCTCTTACTAAACACAACATCTGTAGAACTTTTACTTTCCATTGTATACGAAGTACCTTGGTAAGCCTCTTTGAGTACCAATAATACACTCCTTAGATCTTGGTCTCTCTTTTTCAAGCTCCTACTTCAGCATTGATATAGTTTCTGCCCACCTGCTTATTTTATCTTCTGACTTCTCCACTAATAATTTTAGCTGGTAAGAATGACCTCTACCATATATCTAGGGTTGCCAGCAGTGATTTGCAATCATTGGGGGTTTGGGGGCAGGGACACAGGAGGTGCTGTCAGTGCAACTGCATTACATCACTTCTGTGTTTTCCTTGACATCATGCCTCTCTAGATTTTTGTTGAAATCATTAAAGGAAGCAGTGCATGGGCAACAAGCATTAACAGGTAATCAGTGGCATAAATGAAAATATAACAAGGAAGAACTTTGTAGTTTGGTTACAATGAGTAAGTAGTTAATGGAGTTAACCGTACATTGCATAGTTTAATCAGTTATAAGTTGGCAATAAAAGATCAGTCTGTTACCATGAGGAGGCTAATGTTAAGCCCGACACCGGAAAGATGGGGAGCTGGGGGGGAGCAGAGCCCTAAGTAGCCACCTTGGTGCCCCCACCCCACCAGCCATTCCTGACTCCCCATGATAGGTCCAGCGCTGAGCTGGGTGGGCCCAGATTCCTGTGCTCCTTGCCGGCCAGCCTCCTCCACCCTGACAAGAGCATCCATGGCTGCCCTCACCCTCTCCACCACCCCTGCAGTGAGTCCAGGCCCCAGCTTTTCTGAGAATTCTGAGCTTACTATGACATCACACACACATAACACACGCACACCACTCTTTTGAGCCTCAGTGTCTTTGCTATCCTTCATTAGTAGCTGAATTTTTCATTGTCCAGAGACTAGATATTTTCATTTCATATAATTTATATGCCTAATTTATTCAAATAATTTATGTTTAATTATTATGCTGCTTTCCTGGTTTAAAGACTTTATCAAATTATCCAACAGTAAACAAGTAGTTGCCATCCATGAAGAATGCGAGCTGAAAGAGAAAAACAAGGAGGTTCACCACAGCAAGAAACTTCAAAAGCAGCTGCTATATGTTGAAGAATTACAGCAGCAGATTTTGGATGGAAAAATTAAAGCTGAACAAGAACTAGAACATGATCAGGCAGTAATCAATCAGCAGACCAGAGAAAGTGAGTAGTTTTCCTGTTGTTCCTTACTAGTTTCCAGTCTGTTTTTTACACTTTGCATTACTGGTGCAATTTTCTCTATGTCTCTTTATTCTTAAAATGAGGTTAATATGTAAGCGGTTGTTTGCTTTTGTTTTTTATCAGTCTCTTCAAAGGATGTTTCATGATGCACTTTAGATCATCTTGAACCAGTTATCTGACATTTTTCTTGTCTTTAAATTAGGAAAAATCCACAGAATTGATAATTAGGACTGAATCAAATATTGTCCAATTTCAATATTCAAATGAAAAGCATCTATATCTTTGGGGTGGAATCTCTACTTTCTCCAATACTTTGAAGTTCAGGTATTAGAACTGATGGGGGAGAGTTAACAAAGCAAGCAACTGCTTCTAGCAATGAGCTATAGCTTTTTACCTGCTTAGTTGACTAGGCTGAAAAGGCACTAATACTGAGCTTTTGGTAATATACAGATTTAGTCACGTTCATTTAATTAATTGACTAAGGGGAAGATTATTGATTAAATAAAATTTCTTTTGTCTTTTGATAGTCCTAGTAACTGGTGTGCACAGCTGCAGCTGCTTTGGTGCCATTTGCAGAGGGATAGTTCTTTCTTCTTAGTTGTTTTTCCAGCCAAAAAGGCATTCTGTAGTGAACAGACTGATGCCACAGTGCTCCATAATTAGATTTGGCTACATAATCACAAATAAGAACAATAAATTTGACTAGATAGGGCAAATGAGAATGAAGGCAAGTTAGGTCAATGTTTCCTCAGTTAGTCACATGGGTGGTCCCATACAGAGGAACAGAAGCTATCACAAAGGATAATTGAAGCTAATTGGGGGGGATACACATGTAAGAGTGAGCTGAAATTGTTTATGAAAAATGGTTTCTTTTGGTTCAGGCTTACTAGTGCTTCTCTGATTAACAGAATTCTTCCAGTTCGCCTGCAACATTTTGGTTGTGACGAACATCTGAGTAAAAGATATCTATAGGGCATTCCATATGGTTCAAATAGAAATGAACAAACCTCCCCATGCTCAGATTGGAAAGAACCCAGCACTTTACAAACAGCACGGAGATCTCTTGGGAAATACCTTTCCTTTTTCTAAATCACTTGTTCCTGTGAGCCCCCATTGGCTGCTGCTGCTGTGCAGAGGTGGTGATGTGGAGAGAGGGAGGGGCGATCTCTTTTTGCTCCTCCCAGTGACTTGCAGTGATGGTTAGGGATGTGCATTCGGTTCGTCTGAACCGAATGTACCCCTGAAAATGGCCCAGGCTGCTGCAGGCCGATTCAGATTCTCTGATCTGAATCGGCTTGCCACCGAATTGCCGCCGAATGTCGGCGGCAATTCGACCCCATTATATCCTATGGGCCATTGAAGTCAATGGTGAAAACCTAGGGTATATTCTGGGGGCTATAGGGGAGGAGGTTTGAGGGAAAGGCTCCAGACTCACAGAGTAGCTGCTGGAGCCTCTGATGGTTGCAGAGGAGTCCTCCCAGCTCCCTCTCTCTAGTACCCTTCTCCACCTCCCTGGCATTTTGAAGGTCAAGGCACCAAGGAAACTGGGAAATGTATTGTTCCAAAGAATCCCTAATACCTTCCTTAATACCCTGTATTATTAATAAATTAGAAACCTTATAAGCTTGATAAGACATTCATTTTCTTGCTTTATTTTCTTGGTTCCTAGACCAGCAGTGGCTTATTCATGAAGAGAAACGACTGTCAGTGCAGCAGCAGCAGCATGAATCTGGCTGTGCAGACAGAAGTAAAATCATATGCAGAAGCGGGAGTCCAGAATACATTGGAACCAAACATCTGCCCTTCTCTGATACAGCAAAACAAGAAGAAATTGGTACAACTAGAACTTTTGCAGAAATACTCCTTAAAGGAAGCAGAAAGAAATTTAAGGCGGAAGGAGGTCAAACTATACTTAGAGAGGATTGTGAAGAAGCAAAAATTACTTGAGGCCAAGAAAAACCTGGAACGCTTAGAAGCTAGTTGCTGGATCAGTGAAGATAATGTGAAACATCCCCATCCTCTGTATCAAGATACCATAGTAACTTCTTGGGACTGCAAGTATCCAAGGCCAGGCCATTCATCAGATGGAAGCTCCTTGCAGCGCAGAAAGAATTCCTTTTTAAATGTTCATCTACCACATGTTCCCAGTCACTGGTGAATGCTGTTTGATATTTCCTTGTAATCTGGTTTGACCAAGTACATTTTTCATACTTACAGTTAATTAGGGAATATGCTACAGAGGGTACAAGCTACAATCCTTAATCGGTAAATTGATCAGCTAAAACTTTAGTTACTAAAGTACAGTTCTCCAAGCAAATTCATATGTGCTGCTGTAATAGAGAATAAAAAGTTTGCGTTTGCCTTTGCTTCTAGCAATGAGATATAGCTTTTCACCTGCTTTGTTTGCTAGGCTGAAAAGACACTAATACTGAGCTTTTGGTAATATACAGATTTAGTTATATTCATTTAATTAATTGAATAAAGGAAAGATTACTGATTAAATAAAATTTCTTTAGTCTTTTGATAGTCCTAGTAACAGGTATGCATTGGTACAGCTTTGAACCAATTATGAGTGTAATCATTACGTTTTCACAGGAAAAATCTTGAAATTAATTGATCTTCTTCGTGGTCTCTGTGCTTCACACCAATGGGATCTAGTGCACCTGCGCTGGATCTGCTGGTACTGTAGCAAGCTCTTTTAAAGGATTTTCGCGCCCAGCCCCTCCGGGCATGCGCAGGAGGCCCACTGCGCATGTCCAGAAGGATGGGCACGGACATCCCACCAGTTCTTTCCTTACCGCCGCGCTGAGCAGACCCTTTCTTCGAGAGGTCTGGTCGGATCGCTGGTTTTGGTCGCTTTTTAGCGATTGGCTCTTCTTTTTTCTCTCAGTTTTAGTTTAGTTTCCTTTCTTCTTCTTCTTGTTGTTGTTGTTGTTTTTTAAAGGAGAACTTTTGTTTTTCGTCGTCTGAGGTAAAATTACCTCAGGCCTTTGGGCCATTGCCCCCCCCCCCAACTCTCCTTACCGCTAAGACTCTTCAACGCCTCTTAGTCCATGGAGAGAAAGACTAAAAAATCGAAGAAGTGGGGATTTTTTAATCGCTGCCGCAGCTGCGGTAGTAAATGGGCTCCTCCGGACGGTCACAAGTACTGTATCTTCTGCCTGGGTGAAACCCACAATCCCGACTCCTGCGAACATTGTGCTCAATTTTCAAATCAAACCAGGAAAAATAGAGCAGCACGCTTAAAGGTTTTCCTCATGGAAAAAGCTCTCCAACCTATGGCGGATCCGCCCGTCGCTTCGTCTATGGCCATGTCCTCCGCTACCGACACATCGGCGCCGAAACAATCGATGTCAAAGGCCAAATCCATTTCCGATACCGACAGATCGAAATCTAAGGTACCAAACGTTCCTTCCACAGCGTCTACCCCTGCTAAGAAGGCAAAGAAGTCCAAGCCTGCGGTAGAGACGCACATGGTGGTTAAGGCTGCGAAGCATGCTAAGAAGGACTTGGGCTCTGTGCCAGCAGTCCCTGCTCTCCCGCCACCGTCGACTACTTCAATACCGACTGGTTCGACACCGAATGACTCGATACCGGTGAACCAGGTCGTGTCTCAGGCTACGGTACTTGTGCTGGTTTCTCCAGACTATCCGGTGGAGACAGCCTTGTCCGATGTCGACCAAACCGATCTCGTAAGTCACCAGATGGGTGTGGAGTTTTCCCCTGGTCCAACGAGCTCGTTGGCTTCGATCGTCTCAGAGCCGCCCGACACCGACGGCCGTCAGCATCGACGCTCAAGATCCAGTGCGGAGCGTCTGCCTCCCTGTTTATTGCCTGTCGATATCGACGCCTTTGATTGTAGGAGAGGCACGTATGCTCTTCCTTCAACTTTCTCCCCACGACGTCCGAGGTCGAGGAGTCGTTCCCCGAGGTCGTATATGCCACCTCCGATGTCTTGGGATGAGAGGCAATTCCCTTACCTGTATGGTCCTTACCATCCTCCTATGCCTTGGCTCAACCCCGAGGGTTACACTGACTGGGACAGATACTCCTGTCGATCTTCCCACAGGTCTCGTTCTCCAAGGCGATCTAGACCATCCGCTATGGTCTCTCATCCTCCCCAGCTGGACAATGTTCCACCGTCAGGAACATCTTCCGTCCAACCTCTCCCTACTCCTAGAACACATCTGGAGCGCACACCGGCTGCACCAATCCAGCCGCCTGCACCAACCCCTCATCAACCTGCCCCGGCAGATGAACCTGACTCTTCAGAGCCCTCTGAGTCTGATTCCAATACCGAGCCTTCCGAGGCCCCAACGTCGCCGGATAACTCGTCTCCCAATACCGACGTGTTTCAAAATCTCCCAATATCCCCGTCGGATAACTTGTCTACATACACCGACCTCATGAAACGAATGGCCCATGCGTTGGGACTGTCAATTGTCCAGAAGGATCCTCAATCTACGGATTCTTTATATGATATCGTCCAACTGGACACGTCCTCAGTCGTCGAACTCCCCATGTCATCCGTCTTGCTACAAGCCGCAAAAACCCCTTGGCAAAAACCGTCGTCCGCCCCTGTCTCTACTAAGAAATTAGACCATATGTATCGCATACAGCAACCTGAGGCAGAATTTCTACTTTCCCACCCACAACCTAACTCATTAGTCGTCACCTCGTCGTCCAAGTCAAAAAAGTCACATTCAGCTCCTGCTGACAGGGAAGGTAAAAAGTTAGATGCCTTTGGCCACCGTTTTTATTCAACGGGAGCGTTGGCTGTGAAGGCATCAAACTATCTCGCATGTATGAATCGGTACCAGTATACCCTGTGGGAACAGATGTCCGATCTCCTGGTGCATTTGCCTGAAGACAAATTGTATGCCGCCAAGCTGCTGCAGAAAGAAGGCATGGTGGTCGCTAAACAGCAGTTAACCACGACCAAACACATATTGGAAGCCTCCTCGAAGACTATGGCTTCAGCGGTGGCACTTAGACGACATTCATGGCTGAGATCCACTTCTCTCCCTTTCGACACTCGCTCGTTAGTCGAAGATATGCCCTTTGATGGCCTGG